GGGGAGGAACAGAGGAGATGTCGAATGGCCTGAGTGTCCAGTTCGTCGCGCGTGGAGGAGGAACCTAAACAGGAAAGAAGAGACAGAGGAGGAAGAGGAGAAACAGGATGACGGGGACGAACAAAGGAGACTGCGATGGCCCGAGTGCGCCATTCGTAGCAAGTGAAGGAGAACGAATCGAAACAGGAGGAGGAGGAGAGAAAGGAAGAATAGGAGAAAGAGGAGGGAGAGGAGGGATGGCGAATGGCCTGAGTGTGCCATTCGTCACGAGTAAGAAACAGGACCAAGCTTGAATTTCACAACAGCTCCCAATTTCTCTCCATATATTGTCACACTGTGAATCGGAGCGCAAAGGCGGAAAAAGGCAAAACAAGGAAAGGAAAAGAAGGAAGGAAGGAAAGCCCCACCTGTTCATCACCTCTTACGTACAAGGAGGCCAGCCACGTGGATGACAGGTTGAGCGCTGGCTGCCCCTATCCCCGTGTGTCAGAAGGACCCACTTGTACGCAACCAAAAGGCAAAGAGGTAAAGAAAAGGAGGAGGAAACCTCCTGACAGGGAAACAAAGCAAATGACACATCACACAGATAATCCAATTGTCACAAAGCAAATAACACATCCCACAGATCAACGTTTTATTTCTTTCCTTGCTTTCTTATTTTCTTTTTTTCTCTTTTTTTCTTTTTTCTGTTCCCACCTCGGCAGATAGGACAGCTACGGTGAGGATGATGTGGATGTTCACAAGGATACCCAAGGAGAGTTGCGCCAGCACAGCATATATGCTCCAGCGCCCTCCTCCACCCAGAAAAATCATTTGCCGATTTCATCCGATTCGTCCCCCGTCCTCCTCCCACTGAGACACCCCAATTCTGCCCTTACCCTCTTCCCTCTTCACTGCCCTTTCTGCCAATAGAAATCGCATCCCTGACCCGTTTCTGGGCACTTGAGATCCTTGCCCAACCTATACACTGTTTTCCTCAAAGACCTAAGTTTGCATTTAGTTGATAACGTAAGCCCACATGAAGACCACAATAAGTGTATAATACGACTCAGGCCCGCCAGGGGAGCCGCAAAGGAGTAGTTGAAAATGCCACGGGTTTTTGCCGCCCTCGACTACCAATGAACAGTTGAACAATCCCCCACTCCTCATACATGCTCCTGCCGTCCCAACTTCAATTGAGCTCTTAACCTTAAACTCGCCATTACTTGGGGAACACATGCTAGTACCATACCTCAAAAACGCTCATCATCACTGAGGTCGGGCTTCCACCGTCACTTGTGTGAGAGAGAGACACACTGACAGAGACAGAGAGAGAAGGTAGTACCATACCTCAAAAACGCTCATCATCACACTACCTTAGATCTGACTGAGGTCGGGCTTCCACCGTCACTTGTGTGAGAGAGAGAGACACACAGACAGAGAGAGAGAGAGAGCGACGAGAGGTTCACATTTCCCTGTCATCCACTACACATAAAATCGAGAGTCGGCGTGCACGACGGTTTCCCGTCAACAAGTAACACCTATTCCACGTCTCCCGCCCCAAAGCGTGCCCAAATCCGAAGGTTAAGAATGGTGTCCCACGATAAGTCTGGGTGACAAACGGGGTGTATGTGAAAGGCGGGTGTGAGTGACAGACAGAAATCCGACAAGATAATCCGCATCAGCCCGCGCAATTTCCATGACCTATGAGCAAAAGTAGGGGAAAAAGAAACGAAACCCTTTCACCGATTAAACGAGAGACGAAGAAAGAGGGCCGAACAGATAGGTCCTGTAAAAGGGAATCAAGAAGAAACCGGGGCGAAGCAGGACATCAAGATGAAGCGAAGGAGGGAGGGAGGGAAGGGGGGGCAGAGGAGGGAGGAAGGGAGAGAGAAAGAGAGAGCGACGAAGAGGGAGGAAGAGAGGGAAAGAGGAGGGAGAGCGAGACAGAGAGGGAGAGAGAGGGAGAAGAGGGATACACACATGCAATAATAGACAACACGTGCGAGGTTTTACTTTCGCAGTATACACGTCCTGTCCATGGCATGCGACAACTGTCGCGACTCCCTTCTACCTCACTGCTCAGGTAATCCTTTCAGCCATTGTCCCTGAATTTATACCCTATTCCTTATCCTTCCCACCTACTTGTCCTCATTCCCTGCAGCGTCCTCATCACCGTTGCCTCTGAGTTTTCCGTAGTCGCGCTCTGTACTGCCCTTGTCGTCTTTGATGATTTCCCGTGGTCGTCGATTTGCTGTATATAACGTCTTCCTCCTGCGTACGCTTCTGTCCTAAAGTCATTTCCTATTTCTATTTCTCTTTTGGTCGGAACTCGGTACTCATTCAGTTCCTTTCCCTTTCGGCCGTACTTCTGTCGAGATTTGTCGAAATTTTCGTGTTCATATCTGACTTGTATTACTGGCTTGTATCTGGCTTTGTTTGTTACTTTTGTCATTCGCGCGATCGTATATATTGTCACATGATATCAGAGCGCCTATGCGAAAAAACCAAAAAAACAAAAAAAATCTTAAATTCGTTTTTAATCTTCTTCCTTACAACTCCCCCTGTTCAGAACCTCTTGCGTACAAGGCCGCCCACGTGGATGTAGGTTGAGCGGCGGCTGCCCCCACCCCCGTGTGTCATATCGACCCACTTGCACA